GAATGACGTGTCACGCACGATCGACGTCGATCTTTTTGTCCCAAAATTGTAATATTTACTCAGTTTTAAGTAATATAAAATGGGCAAATTAATAATATTTTATATTTAGTTTTATATTTTATATTCATATTATATTATATTAGTACTTTTTATATTTATATTTCAGTATTTATATTTATTTTTATATTTTACATTTATATTGTATTATTATTTTCTATACTTATGTTTCAGTTTTAAGTAATATAAAATAGGTAATTGCAATATTCTCTCAGTTTTAAGTAGAATAAAATAGGCAAATTAATATTTTATATTTAGTTTTATATTTTATATTTATATTATATTAGTACTTTTTATATTTATATTTATTTTTATATTTTACATTTATATTGTATTATTATTTTTTATATTTACATTTCAGTTTTAAGTAGTATGAAACAGGTAATTGTAATATTTTCTCAATTTTAAATAGAATAAAATAGGCAAACCTATAATAATAAGATTATATTAATCTTACAAATATATTATGTAAAAATAATAAATTTATTGCTTCTCAATAATTTCTATCCAGTGATATCACACCGACGAGCTCCAAGAGAAAGCGACGAATTATTGTGTATATGGTTTGGTCACTCGTTATGGTCCGCAGTCAGTTGCCAGCGCAACTGGTTAAGCCATTGGCTACGGCAGACTTTGAATTATGAGAGTTTCTCAGAAAGTTGATTGAAATAGTGAAAACAGTGAATTGCACTACATCAAACCAATATTACTTATCTATTCTTATTCTGCGTTATTCGTATTCTGCGTTGAATTGTTAGTGCACATATGCTAAAAGTTTAGGTAACTTTGAGCTTCATTTCATAATATATTAGACTCCTAGGTAATGTCGTTTTTTGATACTGTACAAAATTTTATTTCGTTTCCTCGTATTTCGAATGAAATGGATCGATTATTTGTCTAATTGACATCTAATGCACGCGTTGCTCTGGAATAATAATTTCACGGTGACAAAAAAGAAAAAAAAAAAAAAAAAAAAAAAAGAAAAAAAAAATGGAAGCAACGTTGAAAAA